CCGCGCCCGCGCCCTCACTCACCCTCTCTGGGATCGGCCCGGTAGCCGGCTGGCAACGGCAGCGGCGCGGGCTCCACGTGCGGCGTCTCTGCGGGTGAGACCTGCAGCTCCCACGACGCCAAGCGGGAGGCCCCGGACCCGGCCCGCCGAACAGGCTCCGAGAAACCCCGGCCCCTCTCCCGCCTCCCAGGCTCTCCCGGTCAAGGACTACAACTCCCAGCAGGCAGCGCGAAACGAACGCTCGGAACAACGGGGGCCCACAAGGCTCAACACGCCAATCCGCTTTGTTTTACTCTCGCTTTCCCTTCACAATTTACACCACAACCCCGAGGTTGACTTATTCGGATAAGAGTTTGAACGAGAGGTGGGGGAGGCTACGCATAACGCACATGCGCACAAAACAATGTTGTCAAGAGGAAAAATAAATAAAACACTAAAAAAAAGAGAGCGGTCAAAGCAAGAGAAGGGAAAATGGCGGAGTCTACGCAAGAAGACCCGGAAGCACTTACCCACTACTTCCTCTTGTTGGGCTTCTGTCTCACCTAGAGCGGTCCGATCACAGACAGTCTCGGAGGCGCTTCCTGTCCGGTGAGCGTAGAACGATTGAAATGGAGGCCCACAATGCACTGCGCTGGCGGGTAGCCGCGCGGGGGCGGGGCCAGGGCCGGAAGTAGGACGGCGGTAGCGGCGCTAACTCTGGCGGCTCGGGACTGAGTGCGAGGTGACCGGGGAGGGTTGCTAGGTCAGCCCGGCCTCTGGGGACCAGAATCTGGGTTTCTCCGTAGGAGTTGGGCGGCCTCTCACCCCTACCCTACTGGGAGGAGAGGGCGGCCTGGTGTCCCTGGCACCTCCACGGCGTTGGCGCGCGGTCGCCGATGACCTCGGCGCCTCTCGGCCTCGAAGTGGGCCTTGTTCCCAGTAGATGGGGGCCGCTGGCAGCCTCTGCGGAGGGCGCCCCCGGGGCGGGGGGTGGCGGCCTACCGGAGCGGGACGCGGACCCGGGCCCCGGGACCCGCTGTCGGCCGGGGGCAGCTCAAGGTCAAGCGCTGAGCACTGGGTTTGCGGCCTCGCCTGCCCACGCTGGCAAGCGAGGGACGCTCGTGAGCGAGGCTTGGGGCGGGTGGTGTGTGCACTGGGAAGACGGAAAGAGGGCCGTCGTCAGTGCTGAAAGTGCATACCCCCCCCCAACTTCGTTAGGCGTCCTTGTGGGTTGACTTTAGAGACAGCCAACGGTCTGACCCACTTGGCTAGCCAGCCCTCATTATAAACAGAACTCTGCCCCAGTGGACAAGACCTCTGTCGGACTGTATCCTTCTCTTAGTAATATACCCACCTTTTGGGGTCCAGTCCCTGACGTTAGCCCCTGATAGTACCTGAGCGAAGCATTTATCATCAGTGGTATTCATGACTGTATACTGACATGTGCCTTCTGCATGACGGGGCTTCACACAGAGAAGCAAAGGGTTTTTAGAATTTAAAGTATGCACATGTAGCTGTGTAAATGTACATATATATGTATATATATATGTGTATATATGCACACACTGTATATGTATTTGTGTTGAATTCTTGGACTACGTATTGAACCTCTAGGCCTGGGTTTCCTATGGGAACTTTAATACATGACATATTAGAAGGTTATTTGTCGTTTGCCTGTAGTCTCTTCCCGAGCGTTTTTCTCTGGTGCAGTTTAAGAGTGACATAGCAATTCTTTTAGTTTCCTCACATGCCTTGTTTTTCGTCCTGTTCAGTAATTATCCCATGTTTGACTGCTTGAGCTCTTTTGGTAGTGTTTGTCAACATTGGCACTATTGTACTGTTGTGGGGAGTTGCTCACTTTTGATTAACATCCTCTAAGATATTTAGTGGCATCTCTGGTGTCAGGCCAAGAACTTTCAAACAATCAGACACTAACAAAAGATTACCCGCTCCTAATACCTCTCAAACTCTGGGTGGAAAAGACCACTCCTCCCCTCTTTATGAGCACTTTTGAAGAAATATGCAGTCAAATTAGCAGAAAAATGAAACTAAAAGGCGACCCAGAAAATACAAATTAATTTTTTTATTAATTCCAAGACATAAATTACTTTGTTGAGTTGCTAAAGAAGTTTCTAAAACCTCAGTCACAATTTCTCTTAGTACTATAGATGGGTACAGTTTGTATTCTTCCACTGGTCCGATCTATTTAAGCTTGGTAGCAGTCTCTTGTCAGTGATGGTGTTGGCAGTGGTGGTAATGATTAAATACTCTGGGGATGGACATGGGAAGCATATTAGTATGTCAACTTTTACCTTTTAAGTTTCAGAAATGTTGCTAGGCTGTATATCCAGTTGTGTATCTTCTATTGCCATTCCAGTTTAGGGCTCGATAAACCCTTTGGATTTATGAACTTAAGTACTAATTTTAGCGAAATTGTCTTCTAATTGTTTATGACTTCTTTATTCCCCCCATCTAGAATTCTGTGTGCATGCATTTATTGCAATATGAAATACTTTTATCTTCAAGTCACCAAACTCAGGTCTCTAAAGGAATTATCCATTATTAAGTTGTTTTAACTTGAAAAAATATTTCACCTAATTATTTTTAAAACTTGGATTTTAGTTGGATTATTTTTAAAACTTGTACTTCACTGATTAGAGTATATTGTTTAATCTTCTCTGTTATTGTAAGCCTCACTTCTGTGATTACTGTTTTCATTTGTTATTTCTTTTGGTTGTTGATTTGCTTATGACAGTGTTCTTGAATGGCCAGAATACTGCAGTTGTAATAGGCAAAGCAGTTTCTCTCGGATAGGCCTATAAAATGAAAACTTCCAGCCTCATTATCTTGGCAGAAGCAACTATCTCCTCTCTTTGCCCAGCCCCCTTTTAACCTTTTGAGGGGTCAGGGAAGCCTGGCACTTTTGAAGAAATGGTCTTTTCCTGCTGGCAATGGGCAGGGTTCTAATGGCCTTGTCTCCTATTTTTCTGTCCACTTTAAATTCATAGAAGAGAAAAATTTCAGTTGTGTGCTTGCTTTTGGCTCTAACCCTAATGGAACCTCAGGCTTGAGTCATTCCTAATTGCTCTTAAGTCCCTAGGGCCTTTGGGTTAAAAGCAAAGGACTTGGAAGCAGGAGTGAGATAGAGACTATGGTCACATAGAGTGCAATTTGGTAGGATTTAGTTCCATAGCAATTAGTAGAGCTAGATTTCCGCCATGATATATGTAGAGGTATATTAAATAAAGTACACTAATGTTCCTGTGCTGCTTCTCTGTACCTTAGAACCACCATGATTCTTCAGAGACTCTTCAGATTCTCCTCTGTCATTCGCTCAGCAGTCTCTGTCCACTTGCGGAGGAACATTGGTGTTACAGCCGTGGCATTTAATAAGGAACTTGATCCTATACAGAAACTCTTTGTGGACAAGATTAGAGAGTACAAAGCAAAGCGACAGTAAGTAAATAATCAACCACAGTACAAATATTTATATATATATATACAATATATACACTATATATATAATATACATATATATATATATATATAAATTCAAGATACCAGTCCCAAACTGTACCTTGAGGAAGACATTCCATTAAATCAATTGTTATTTAAAATCTATTCTTATTATAATGTCATCATGAACTAAGTCATAACCTGATATGTAGACTCTTAACATCATTTAGCAGCTATATTTGAGAAAATTAAGGTAGCCTAAGTTTATAAAATTAATTGTGATAAAACATCAGAGTACTCTCATTTTGTGCCCTATGGTGACTTGACGGGGTACTTACATAAAGATAGTGATTTTTGTTTATTTTCTCTTTTAAAGACTGTTTTCCTACTTTGGGAATATTAGAGAACAAATGACTCTGAAGTGGCATGAAGGAAGCTGGGCAAGACAGAGTTATAAAATCCTGTCTTTTGGAGATAGGTGCTATTGTCTATGAAGTGCAAACTCCAAGTCTTAGGAAAAGTGATGTACATTTACTTCCATTCTCTTGTTTAGTTGTCTGCTGTGTATAAAGCACTAGACTCTTGGCTGTGGTGGACACACTTTTATGAATTGCAGATTATGAAAATCTGATAGAGGTGAAACACATACCAATACAGTATACAATAATTGGCAGTAGGTGCTAAGTGACAAGTTCAGTATTTTGAGAATTCCTAACTACTTGCTAGCTGTGCCATTTTGGAAGGCATCTTGGTAATGTTTAATTGTGGCTTTGAAAACATTATTTGGGATCTTTTTTTTTTTTTCTCAAGAATTTTATGAACAGCAGAAGATCATCTTCCCTGTGTAAAAAGAAAAAAAAATAATTTACTCATTGCTTACTTTGCTTGAGGTTGAAAGGTAGGACACTCATACTCAGGGTTCACCCCCGGGTTAAGACCCGTTTGGGTTTGTGTAGGAGGAGAATGAATGTATTTTAGGATGGAAGAACAGTGTGAAAGCTAGAAAGCACAACATACAAGTCTGTTTCCCTGGAGTATCAGGTATATGAGGAGGCCAATGAATGGTTTGGACAGATTCATCTTGATTATAGGAGTGAAGATACTATAGGATATGGTTTAGTAGGAAATTGAAAGTGTTTAAAGCAGTATATATAAGGATATAATGATACTACTCTTAAGTGGGGAAAGTAGTTCAAATTGGTATTGTTGGAATATTGGAATAAGAAGAAATAAAGAGACTCTGAAGATTGAATAATCAAAACATTCCTTAGTGATAACCTCTATAGAAAGAGGAGTGTAAAAGTGACAGTGTTGAAACAGAACTGGTCTCAGTGACCTGGTAAAGAGCCTGAAGGAACATTAAACATTTTTTTTTAGGAAGCTGAGTGTAGTGACTAATGCCTATAGTCTCAACTACTCAGTGGGTAAAGATAGGTTTGTGGTTTGAGGACAGACCAAGCAAAATGTTACAGAGAACCCATCTTGACAAACAAGGTGGGTATTGTGGTGCATATCTATAATCCCAGGTACATGGAAGGCAGAGGTAGTAGAATCTCAGTCTGATGCTGCCCTGAGCAAAAAAGCATGAGACCCTAGCTGAGAAAATAAAGGGAAAGGGCTCAGTGTATAGCTCAAGTGGTAGAGTACTTGTTGAGAAAGCACAAAGTTCTGAGTTCAAACCCCAGTACCATTGCCACTGCCGCCCCCGCCCAAAAAAAATGAATAAAACAGACTTTTGAGACTTGATAGCTTACTAGTGTTACTACCTGTGAGGAGAAATAGTGAAGAGATTAAAATGTACTGCTTTACCTTGTACTTTATTATATACAAATATTAGAACATTTTATATAAGAAAACCAACGTTGGAATTTTTAAAAGTACCCTGTTTAGTAAGTATGTGTGTACAACTTTTTAGGAAATTTGTCCTCTGCACACAGATGTTATAAATGTCTCTGTGTTACGGCTGTTTGTATTGTAACTTGTCTTACAAGTGTTTAACTAAACTGTGAATCTAAGGAGTGTGAAATTTTCCCTTATAAGCTTAGCCAAAGTGTCTTTCCTCAACTTGAATAGCTTTCTATTAAGCCATATGTCATACATATACGAGTGTTGTGTACAGCCACTGGTCTTAAAGCATGTGTTTGGAACATAATGATTTAACTCTCTTAAACATAGGTAAGCATCATTTTGCTTATGAATTGCAAAATTGCTAAGAGTTTGAAATAATTTACTTCTTTTGATAGGTCCCTATTCTAGGGACTTTGAATTACCAGGATTTTTATTTTTATATTTAAAAAATAATTTGCTGTTGAGAATAGAACCCAGGACTTCACACATGCTGAGCATGTGTGCTCTGTTACTGAGTTCTTAACTCCTACCCTAATACCTTTTAAGAGTCATTTAGTGATGGCTGATTTAAAGTAGGTGATAAGAATGGATAGCATTTACTAGTCCTAACTATGTGAATTGTCTTTTATTCTCTTAAGATCTCTGCTTGATAGAACCTTTATTTTTAGATATAGAAAGTAAAGTTTAAGAGTGATTCTTGCCTTGCCATGATCTATGAATTTGCTAAATGGCACAGCTGACATTCCAAAGGAACTCATCTTTGAGTCTTTAATGTTAGAGATTTCCTTGAAATTAACCCATTGGTATGAAATTATGTGCTGATATAGTGTGGCTTGAAGTTCAAGTGCACAGACTTGTTCTCTTATTTTAAAAAGTTTACTTTTCCCAACATGAGTAATTTTAAAAATTTAGTGAAACTTGATAGTGAAGAGAGATATTGCTTTTTGAAACTAGTGTATAACAGTTTTTATTTGCTCATTTGCACAATAGGTCATCTCAAGGACCTGTTGATACTGGCCCAGAGTATCAGCAAGACCTGGAGAGAGAGATTTTTAAACTTCAACAAATGTATGGGAAAGGAGACATGACGACGTTCCCCACCTTCAAATTTGAAGGTAAGTCTCTAATCTCAGATATTTTTCTGTAGGGTATTATTTTAGATGGAGGATATTAATTTTTTGTGTGTATAGTATGATGGTGCTAGGGATGAAACCTAGGGCTTGGAGGATAGTAGGCAAACTTACCAGTGAGCCAAACTTAATATTCTTTTTTGATTTTTGAGGTTTAAATAACAGATACATGTAAATTCATTGGGACTATGACATGTACATAATAAGATCTCAATAATGATTGCCATTAGCATAGGAGACTGTATGACATACAGATTAAATGATGGGAATCTGATTTCTTAACTGCTTGATCTCAAATCTTGACAGGGTTCACTTACTAGGTGTGTGACCTTGGACAGTTCACTGGTACCTATTTCCTCATCTGACATTTGGGGCAAATTAGAGTTATCTTTTTCCATAAGGCACTTGTAGTTAAATGGCATAGGATACTAACACCAATTAATAGAGAAGCTTGCTCATAGAAACTGTGGAATAAATAGCAATTTTTGTGTTTCTGTATAGATTTTTGAAAACACGTGTTCACTGAGAAATGAGAAGATTGATCAATTAAGGTTTTAAGCATTCTAGCTAATCCATTTGTTGCAGGCTGGCTAACTTTAAACCTTTTTATTCTTCTCAGATCCCAAATTTGAAGTCTTGGAAAAACCCTCATCCTGAAGAAATAACATGAAGTGAATCTGGTAACTTGTCATGGATTTGTTGTACAACTACTTAGAAATGTAATAAATATACACTTCACAACTGTCAAATGCTCTATTAAATTCAGATTACAAATAAATTGGTAATATTGCCCATATGTTGGAATGTAGTAAATCCTGTTGTAGGATTCTTCCATTTGGATATAATGCAGCAGGCCATGTGGATAAATTGGATACAGCTTACTAATATTCCAGTCAGACTCTTCTCAATATGCGGGATCCCTTTAGTAATACATAGTGTCCTCAGAAAGATAATGCTATGAAAGCATGTTAGATTTTTTTCTCTCAGAATATGAAGAAATGGTTTATAAATCTTTTGTTATACCTTTCTTAGGGAACTCAGCATCATTTTTAATATTGTGTCTTCTCCACTGTAAGCCCAGGTCCCTTGTCTTCACTTGCAGATCATAGCCTATTATTGTTCAGTATGGACTAAGGAGGAAGAACTAGCAGCAGACTGAGAAGAGAGTTCTATAAAAGAACGTACTTTAAACAATCTAACTAAGCCTGGCACTGGTGGCTCACTCCTATAATCTTAGCTCTTTAGAACGCTGAGAAGTATAGATCAAGGTTTGAAGGTAGCCTTGCCAGAAATGTTCCCATGAGAGTCTTATTTTTCAGCAACTATCCAAAAACCAGAAGTGGTGCTGTGGCTCAAGTGGTAAAGTGCTAGCCTTGAGCACAAATTGGCTCACGGACAACACCCAGCCCCTGAGTTCAAGCCTCACAATTGATAATATAAAAGATCTACCTAGCCTAGTGTGGAGGTGTGCACCTCTAAACCTAGCACTCTTGAGACTGAGACAGGAGGATAGTAAGTTCCAGGTCAGCCTAGGCCACATAATGATTTTCAGGTCAGCCTATTGCAATTTTGCTACATAGCACAACCCTGTCTGGGGAAAAAGAAAAATTTATATGGCATTCTTTGATCCAAGCAATGAAAGATCCAGCAAGTATCTCCTGGGCATGTGGCATATCAGGAAGCATCAAAATTTCAGTAACTGTACATGCCTCTCAATTAGCTAAAAAATATTTTTAAGGAAAAACAGCCATGGCATTTTACACCTGACAATATGGCATGTCAGTGCATATAAGTCTTTAACCTTTGGTTAACATAGAGGATAATACTGTTCATAACATCAACAAAACTATTATATAATTAGGACAGATTAGTTCTCTTCTGTCTCATGGTCTTTTTCTCCATCTCTCCTCTCATTCCTTCCCATCCTTAATCCATACATAAATATTTAAGTTTATATGCGATAGGATAAAGGGCACCAGGGGAATGTTGAGCTGAATAATTTCAGAGTAGTACTATCTCTTCATGAATAGTGAACAGTATTTAGAAAATGGCATATTTGCTGGAAGCAGTGGTTCACACTTGTAATTCTGCTACTCAGAAGCCTGAGGTAGGACTTACTGCAGTTCAAGGCCAGCCCAGGCAAAATATTTGTAAGAAACCATTACTAAACTTATAAAAATTGGTTTATACACTTCATCTCAGTTGTGTCAGACATGTAAATAGAAGTATGGCATCAGCTAGCCCAAGACAAACGCAAGATCCTACTGGGAAAAAACATAACTAAATCTTACAATTACGAGAATTAGTATTCTAGATAGAATAAATGTAAGTAAATGTGTAAAAGAGAGTTGGGTATGTGGACAGTGAATGGAGAGTGTGTGAAAATGAAATGTCCCACTGTGGCATTTAGATAGGAGAGAAAGGAAAGATGAAGGTATTATAGGACAAATGGATGGGCTGGAGATGACTGAAAATAAAGGGCAAGTATGAGAACAGTAAAATTTGAAAGGAAGGAATTTTTTAAAACTTTGTTGTAATGATGCTGTACAGAGAGGATAGAGTTATATCAGTAAGATAATGAGTACATTTCTTGCTGAGCATTGTTAGCCCCTCCTAAGGGGGGAAGAAAAAAGGCCTGAAGGCCTACAAAACATACTGGATCAGCTGGACCTGGGTCCATGAAGATGCTAACTTCACGTCTTAAAATTTTCCAAGTCATTGTGAGTCTGTTTCGTGGTCTATAAATTTTTTTTTTCAATAATGACTGTTTTGTTTTTGTCAGTTGTGGGGCTTGAATTTGGTGCCTGGATGCTGTCCCTGAGCTCTTTTGCTCAAGGCTAGCACTTTACCACTTTGAGCCATGGTGCCACCTCGAGTTTTCTGGTGGTTAGTTGGAGATAAAGAGTCTCATAGACTTTCCTGCTTGGGTTGGCTTTGAACCGTGATCCTCAGATCTCAGCCTCCTGAGTAGCTAGGATTACAGGTGTGAGCCACCAGTGCCCAGCTAAGAATGAAATTTTATGCACCTTCACCTCCATCCACTACCACCTCAGTTTGACATGTATAAACTGTTCAGTGGTTTCTCTTTGTCCAGTTCTATGGTCACCCCTGTAATCCCAATGCCAGGGAGGCAGAGGCAGGAGGATCGTGAGTTCCATGTCGGCCTGGGCTGCATAGTGACACACTGTCTTTAAAAAAGAAATCCTGGGGCTGGGAAGTTGGCTCAGTGGTAGAGTGCTTGCCTTGCATGCATGAGGCCCTGGATTCGATTCCTCAGCACCACATAAGCAAAAAGAAAAAAGCCGAAAGTGGCTCTGTGGCTCAAGTGGTAGAGTGCTAGCCTTGAGCTGAAGAGCTGAGGGATAGCGCCCAGGCCCAGAGTTCAGGCCCCACGACCAGACCCCCCCCTCCAAAAAAAAAATCCTTTTGATTTTCAGAACTATTTATTTTGGTCAGCAATTGAGAAGTTGGCAGATATCCAAACTTTGAGATGATGAGATTCTAATCTGAGACTACTAAAGAACTAGCCTTGTAGCTGCAGATGGTAGAGGGTGGAGATTCCTGGGTTTTACTGAACAAGATGTGGGTGACTCTTCCCCTGAACTATTAAATAGGAATAAAAAGTTCGGCTATTTTATTAATATATGCTCTATGATCAAACAAATCCAACTGTAGGATGAAGGAAGTTCTTTGTAATGTTGTATTAAAAAAATCAATCATTCCAGATTTAGTTGGACTAAATCCCTCAACTAAAAATAAATCTTGATATAACAGCAACAATATTAAAACCTCCTTATTAAAAAAGGAGGGGGGGCATGATGTGATATGCCTATAATTCTAGCACTAGGGATACTGAGACAGGAAAGATCATGACTTCAAGGCCAGCCTAAGCTGGTGAAAAAAAAATGAAAATATTGCTAAGGATTCTAGAGCCCTGATCTGTTACAAACACAAAACCAAACTGCACCGAGAACTATTGGGATTTTTACCCAATTATTAGTATACAAGTCTCTCAAATCAAGAACAAATGAAAAGTCTGGACACCAGTTATCCACAGAGAAAACTTTAATCAGAAAGTTACTGTGCATGGTACATCCTTGCTGGAGATGAAAGCTTTCTTTACAGGATGGTCTTCGCTTAGTTGCATACAATATTTTAAGATAATGTATAATACAGATTTGGGACAAAGGCAGTGTTAGGTGTTTACACTGAATATAATGAATTCTGTAGTCTTTGATGGCTTAAAAGAGTTTCTTCTATCAGTGAAGTTAAGGCACTACATACTCTTGATTTCACAGTAAGAATTTGTGTCCTTTACATTGAAGTGGCTAAGACAGTGATGGTGTGTCTAAAGATGCATTTTTGGTGGTCATAAATCCCCTTGCACTTCACAATATGAGATGAAGCATTCCTTAAACCAAAGCACATCTTTGTGTCAAAGCATAGTCAACACATAGCCTGACTCCTTCCAAGGTGCAGTCCTAGGTGAGGGCTAACTCCTATTCCCAGAGAACTGGAATACAAGACCCACTCTGGGCTTCTTTGTTGTCCACTGCTGTTTTGATGGGACAATGACAGAGTTGAGTGGCTGCAGCAGGATCCATGTGTGTTAAGAGACCTACTATCTTGCCCTTTCTAGAAATGATTTGTTGCGAGGTGTGGCGCCTCATAGCTAATCCCCATTACTCAGGAGCTGGCAATTGTAGACCTCATAGTTTGAGACCAACCTGGGCAAAAAGTTAGCATCTGAACCACGGTGGTGTGTACCTGTGTTTCCAGCCACAAGGGAAGCTGAATGCCATCCCAAGCTAGTCCCCAGTCAAAAGCAAAGCTTTCCCTCCAAAAAATAAGTTTGCGTGTGGTTCAAGTGGTAGAGTGTATGCCTAGCAAGTGCACAAGCTTTGGGTTTAAACCCAGAATCACCAAAAGAAAAACGTTTGCTGACCCCTCCCTAATGGAATGCTAATTTGCTTTTGGGGACAGCCATATCACAGAAGCTAGCCTGCCAGGATGAGAGGTGAGTCTGATGCCACAGATGAGACAAAGGGGAGCAAGCTGATAGCAGGCACCCCCCCAGTGAGCTGCAGGCGAGGCACTGAGTGTGCCAACCATTTGCTCAGGAACTAGGGAGATTGGTATTGACTACTGAGTAGGAAGCAGATTCCTTTGAAAGCTACTTGTCTATGTTCAGAGTTTTCAAAGGTAGAGCTGTAGTATGGCCATTTATTTTTTGGAGGGGCGTGCCGGTCCTGGGGCTTGAACTCAGGGTCTGGGCACTGACCCTAGAGTTTTACACAAGGCTAGCACTCTCCCACCTGAACCACAGCTCTACTGCCAGATTTTTGGTGGTTGAATGGAAGTAAGAATATCATGCACTTCCCTGTCTGGTGGGCTTTGAACCACGATCCTCAGATCTCAGCTTCCAGAGTAGGTGGGATTATAGGTGTGAGCCACCAGCGCCTGGCAAGTAAGTGGTCTTTTTATCCAGATTTTTCCAGAAGAACATGACAAGCACTAGCTTATATTTTATCTTTAATAAGAGTCAAATAATCCATTCTAAAAGCTGAAACTTTATAACAAGCTATTTCTTTTCCATAGAAGATCAGACCATTTTTTATTTCACCCATATTATCTTATTTGCCTTCTTTGTATCAAGATGTAGTTGCACATTCTTGCTTTGTTATATGCAGAACTGGCAACCTCCTGGCTCTTTAATGGTGAGGGGCTTGACCCAGCTGAGAATTTCATTGCACAGCTGTGAAACTATTGCAGGCAGGGAAAGGTATCTGCTTCATTGTATAGGCTCTAGTGACAAGCTGTAATGGTCAGGCATCGGAGTCTTTTCAAAGGAGTTGCAGAGAATAGAAATGGCAGCAATAGCAGTCACCAATGAGGCCCCTATGGTTTGTGTTTGACTCAGATTTTTGTCATCAGTGACACACCAGGTGAGCGCTACATTGTATGCCTGAGTTCTGGCCATTAGCTATTTCTCTTTGTGTTTGGTTCTCAGAAAGGAAAGTAAACACAAAGTGTACATCCCTGATTATAAGACCCAGTGCTGTGGCCCGCCTTGAATGGATTTGCTAGTGATAAATGAACAGTGTAACAAGGATTATATTTGGGGACAAAAGAGGATTCTGGTAGGAACAAGACCAGAGATTCCTTTTGCATCTGTCACAGAGCATTTTTTGAACACCCTGAAATCAGACTTGCACAGAAGGTATGTGCAGTTTTACTTGCACTCTGTGGATTAGCTTCACAGTCAAGATGGTTTATTATGGTAACTTTCTTCAGAAGTTAAGACATTTGTTAGCATTTCACAAAACGCAGAGTGTAACAGTATTTTGATTCTCTAGTTCGATCGGACAAAGGAAGCCAGGTTGTATTTTAGACAATGACATTTTTTTCTCAAAAAAATAACAATTTCAGGTGAGCTAGAGGTTATCAAAGTTGTAAGGAGGTTCCAAGTTCATTTCCTAGCCCTCCTCTTCACAAATATAAGTCAAAGCAGAGGCTTATAATACTTTAATAACTTGAATAACAACTGTGGTTTTGATGTATCTCAAAATCGGGTTTTTTTAAATTATGAAGGATTTTGTGTGTTTGAAATCCTAGGAAAAGAAAGAAAAAGCAAGTTGAATGATGTAAATTCATGTTTAAAGAAATACACATACATCTGTTGAGAGTCAAACTATTTTCACTGTAGGAACGAGCATAAGTCTAAATAAGTTGAACCTTACAGGGAATTAAGCAAGTAAATTTTAGAAAAGAAGATACTTGCAACTTTGCTGAGAGAGGAAAGAAATGAGAGGAATAAAAGAGCAAGAGAAATCTTTGTTATGAGTAGGATATAAGCTGCGTGCAAGGTAGCACACGTGTCAGCTTCCCATCCACCAACAAGGAATAATATGGCTCAAAGCTGTCAGGCTGAGTAACTCTGATGTAGGATAAATAGAATTGAGATTAGCTCAGAACTATTAGGGCAACTGAAAAATACAAGACAAGAATTTAAAAGACCTGTTTTTCTTTCGACTGAGAAACATGGTACTTATTATTTGGTGGGATGGGTTTATTTTTCTTTTCATACTCAAGCAGTTCTTTCCATAAATTATGTAAATAGATATGAAATTACACATTGCTTGTCTCTTAAAGAATAGTATGCTTCAGTGTAGTAAACTTTAAAACATAAGGATTTCTGTGATAAAAAGATTATGAAGTTAGTAAGTTCAAGAAACCAAATTTTTACAGGAAAAAATACTTTTATGAAACAGTAAATAGCTGTTAAATATTAGTGTCTTCAAATCACTGAAATGTTTAAATAATGATGTCATTTCTCTACCTAAAGCACAACTGACAAATAGAAGAATCACTGTACAGTTTAGAGTCTGGACTGCCAGACTCTAAATCCAGTTATTCATTCCCTCACTGCTTCACTTTCTTAAAACTTCTAGAAAATTGAATCATTCAACAAACTGAAAGCTCAGCAGAGACAGTATTTACTGTTTTAGTGTGTGTGTGTGTGTGTGTGTGTGTGTGTGTGTATGTGTGTGTTATGTATGAGTACATGAAGAAAATGTCTAAATTATGTTCTCTAGACTGAATTGGATGGTTTTTTAATTTTGCTTTTCAAGGATTTGAAACATTCCTTTGAACAACAACTGAGGATATTTCATATCATTAAATTTTCCAAATGCCTTGATTAATCAAAGGAAAGTTCTAGAACCACAGATCTGTTGGAAGCACTTCACTTGTTAAAGTTGCCAGGAAGTCCCTGGGTTCTTTGGTAAGAACGGACATCTCGGTTTTCTTATGTATTAGAGCTGAGAACACATGGCCTACTGATGGTAAGGAAGCAAACTTAGAATACTTGATGAGAAAAAATAATGGTATGGTAAAGATGGCTTCCTCCAAAAGCTTTACAGATGCACTTGTATTAGGCCATTCCAGGCAGGGGAAGGAAGTGAGCATTAATTTAGGTCCCTATAAAAACCAGTGGTAGCATAATACAATATGTATTAAAAATGAAATTACTTCCCTTTCCTATTCCCTAAACACACCCACTCTATAATTATATTTTAATACTCACATTTTCACTCACTGCAGTATCTTTAGGTGCAGAACTACCCTTCCTGTTTGTGGAAAGTGAAAAATAGAATTTACTACATGATTTCACACTCAATTCTGATAGGCATACCCTCAGTTAAGCAAAATGAATATTTTAGCCAAACACCAATAATCCTAACAGAATTTCTTGTATTTATAAACATCACCATGCAACCCAGTTACCAATTTATGTGAAACCCTGTGTGCCTAACCCTGAGTAACCTAAGTTACAGATTTTTGCAGAATACACATAGTAGAGACTTAACATTAATTATTTTAAGAGTTTGATGATTACATCTCAAGGTTCATTTTTGTTCATAGAAAGTTTTGTGTGGCCACTGGAGTTTGGAAGAAGTTCAGTACATTTTACAGGGTGCATGTTTAATAAATGAGAGGAGAAGTTTCAAGGAATAAAGACACCCTTTGCCTGATAGCTAATACTGGGCTTAAGGAGACATTGGTGGAAGGAAATGTAAGTCCCACCGTTTACATAAGATGATATCTCATCACTACTCAGATTTCTCTATTTTCTATTCACTAAAAATGAAAATTCTCATAATTGCCTGGGGCGCGGAGGTGGAGTAAGATGGTGCTACCCATTAGGCTGCCCCACTTTTCTGAACCCGTCTCCCTGTTGGCATTACTAGTTTGGATAAACTTGAACTTCATCATCCTGTATTTGTGAGAATGAGAAATTAAGATTGAGGCAGGCATCTGGAAACGAAATGAAGTGCAGCTAAGTCTTCAAAAGACTAGAAGATAACAATGTAGCCACAGCAGCTCCCAAAGGGGTCTGCTACAGCCTTATGTAAAAAAAGGGCAGCCATAGATCAAATGCACAAACAAGAACTTTTCTGAATCTACATCCAATGTACCCGTGACTGCTATATTTCTATCTGCAGCCAAGATAGTTCCCAAACTCCACATTCATATATGTGGTCACTTACTGATCATTTCTACTTGAGAGTCTTAAGCAGCTTAAGGAATATTGAAGTTTCAAATAGACCTCGCCAACTTCCTCATCACTGCCCCACTTTTCTCATACTTTCCACATTCCATAAGTGGTAACACCATCCTGTATAACCTCAACTCCACTCTCTATGTCTTTCTGTTTCTCACAGCCCACACCAGCAGATCAGCAAATCCTTGCAATTGTAATCAGAACCCTATTGCATCTCTGTTGAATCCCGCACTCCACCATTGGGATACCAGCCACCATCTTTCCTTGTTTTGGTTGTTGCAGTAGTTTCCTGATTGGCATATGAGCTTCTAAGCTTTGCATCTGACGGTGGTCTCCAACAACTTCCTTTCTTGCTTACATACAGTTAAAGTCAGACTCATCTGTCTCTGTACATACCTGTGCACACTGCTTTTTTTCACTTGTCTCCTCTCTTTCCCACATGCCGTTCTAGTCACATTGATTCCCTCGCTGTCCCTTCGATGCTCTGTGCTCCTGGCCTTGAGCTCTGTTTGTTCTCTGCCCCCCTCCACGTCATGCCCCTTGGAGGAGCTCTCTATTGAGGAACACCACTTCCTCACTCCAGGCCCTTCTCAACTGTCACCTGATGGTTCAAGCACTTCCTGACCTTCCGTTTCAAACATGAACCTCCACTCCTACTCTTCTTATGCTGTTTTCTCTTACTTGCTTTATTTTCTCCATAATATGTTCTATAGTGTTTGTTTGCTTTCTGCCTTTGTCTACTAGACTATAAGCTCTAAAAAGAATTTTGTGGAGGTGTGGGCATACTTTTCTTCCTGCTGCCTTACAGTCTTGCCAGTCCCTCATACTGTATTAAAAACAAAACCTGATATTTAACTAAGTGTGCAAAAAAAAAGACTAAACTTGGAGTTGAAAATTTTTAATGTAGCAAAATATGGTAAGGACATTTTTTGAAAGTACATAGAAATACCTACAAAGTGAAATTAGTGTCAGTGTTTCTTCTCTAGGTAATTCATTGATGAATGAGATTTAATTATTAAATTCAGGAAATGAGGGTTGAGGCAGGCTGTATTTCTTGATGATTTTCAGTAACTCTCCATAGGACTAAATCTATACAAACTGATAGCCCACTTTTAACTTTTAACACATGATTGACAACATATAAGTTGATGTTAGGGAAAAAAGGCATTTAAGAAAATATACTTACTGGAAGGAAGTTTCTTCTAGAAAAGAATAAGTATATATCATTAATGTGAGAAATAATATGGTACAACAGAGTCATTTAATTCTTAATTTCTTTCTCATCTTTGTCCTCACTTGTTATTTTGTGTACCCTGTAAATCAAGAGCTAGCAAACCTGTTCTGTGCAGGGCCATTTAGCAAATATTTTAGGCTCTCTGGGCTCAAAGACAAAATTCAAAATTTCAAAAACTTAATAAAATTGAAAATATAACTATCAAACTCACAATAGGCTTTCTAATTAGAAGAACAGAACTCTTGGAGTGGGTGTAACATTTTTTAATTATGGCTCAAATTTACTGTGACCAGTTATCAAACAATTGCAATTTTTCATCTGCTAAAAATCATTCCTATAGGCCATGGAAAATGACAAGAAACAAGATTTGGTTCACAGGTCAGTTTGCCAACATTTGTGCTAAATACAAGTTCAAAAACAAATTCTGTTAGATTTTCTGCCAGATGAAAATGAAAATAATATTGTTAGCTAATGAATTCCTAATATCCAAGTCAACTCTAATTTAGAATTTTAAGAAAATATGTTTAATGACTCCTCATTAAGAATAAACAAGTGTTCTTTACAAGTACAAAAACAAAATGCTATTATTTTGAATGAGAATTTTAGCTGTCTGTAATTACACTGGTGAACCAGCAGGGGGACACAGCTAGACTCCATTCAGAAAGTTACATTACAGTAAACTAAACTGAAACACTATATATTCAGAGAGTTTCCTTGAGTCTATGTTCATGGAAATATTCTCTGAAATATGAGGTATATGTATAGCTATTGGAAATTCTTTTCAATTTAGGTTTTATTTAGGTACAAATAATTTTTTAAATCTACAACCTAAAATTAATATATATTACTAAAGTCTGCTCAGGAGGTTGCAACTCTCGTCTTCCTCTATTGTTGTCATGATATTTCATAATATACTTCCAGTGGACATTTCTTATAGCAGAAAAACATTGAAAAATATTCTCCAAAGTTTGTTAGAGTTTCTTAGAGAGAACAAGATCCTATGAGCAAACTCTGTCTTGACATAAAATCATGTATGAAAGAATGGTAAAATTCACTTACTTGAAAAATAGCCTTTTCTCTGGGCATAGCACACACCAAGGCCACATACAGAAATCACTAAGGCCACAACTACTACAGCTGCTATGATGCCACTTACATTGAGATCATCTGCAATGTAAAATAAACCATGCATCAACTCACATGAACTAAATGGACAGATGCATCTGTAGATCAAGGGCCTCAAACAAGCTCCCCTTGCCAAGTAAAGTACAGTTTCATGCTTTTAAAACCTGCTCAACAAACTCAATTCCAGGATGTGACAATACTGATGGAAAATAGTAACAGCGTTGTAAGAATCTCAAATTTTAAAAAGTTCCACAATCTGGAAACAAAATGATGTTGCCTTGTGCTTATTTGGAGATGTAAGAATTCACAGAATTAAGTATCAGGTGGGAAGCAATCATTGCAGTACAATGAGTTTAGATAGTCTACTGCCATCTCTCAAATTTTGCTTGACGTTTTTCTACATCATTATTTGGTCAGTGTCACAAAGAACAGCCTCAAAGAAAGCGTATGCCATTGTTATTCTGTGATACTCCTAGAGAAATCCCCTCTTGAATTTATGAGTTTCCTGTGTGGATATGTATACACAAATCTATCCTCATACATGCAGATCACTAAGCCATTGCTGCACTGAGTTAAAAATTAAGTGAGGGGCTGAGAAGGTGGCCGGGAAGGCAAGGAGAGTGCTCGTCTTGCATGCATGAGGCCCTGGGTTTGATTCCTCAGCACCACATAAGCAGAAAAAGCCAGAAGTGTGCTAGCCTTGAGCTGAAGAGCTGAGGGACAGCACCCAAACCCAAGTTCAGGCCCCATGACTGACCAAAAAAAAAATAAGTAAAATGAATTAAACAAGCTTTTTCTTGTTGCTATTAAGTCATATCTTGTCTAGTATAACATAATATGTGTTTTGGACCCAAGTTTGGAATGACTACTGTGTTCTCAACTTACAGTTTTTAAAAATTTATTCTGTATCCTTGATGCCAAAATCACACTCATCCCCAAACCAGGCAAAGACCCACCAAAAAAAGAGAACTACAGACCAATCTCCTTGATGAACAAAGATGCAAAGATCCTTAACAGAATTCTAGCCAACAGAATCCAGAAACACATCAAAAAAATCATACATTACGACCAAGTAGGCTTTATCCCAGAGATGCAGGGATGGTTTAACATACATAAATCAATAAATGTAATCCAACACATCAACAGAGCCAAGGCCAAGAATCACATGATTATCTCCACAGGTGCAGAAAAGGTTTTTGATAAAATACAACATTCATTCGTGTTAAAAGCTCTGGAGAAAATAGGAATAAAAGCAACATTCCTTAAAACTATAAAAGCCATATATGACAGACCAATAGCCAATATTATACTTAATGGGGAAAAACTACAACCAGTTCTAAAATCAGGAACAAGGCAAGGATGCCCACTCTCACCACTCCTCTTCAGTATAGTTCTGGAATCCTTAGCCAGAGCAATAAGGCAAGAAAAAGACATTAAAGGGATCCATATAGGGAAGGAAGAAGTTAAACCCTCCCTTTTTGCAGATGCCATGATACCCCAAACTCTTAGAACTTATAAACCACTTTGGCAAAGTAGCAGGATACAAAAGTAACCCACAAAAATCAGTTGCCTTTCTGTACACCAACAATGTACAAGCAGAAAGGGAAATCAAGAAAACCCATTCACAGTAAACCCCCCGAAAAAAGTATTTAGGAATTAGCCTAACCAAAGATGTAAAAGAACTATATAATGAAATTACAGAGAACACCAGGAAATAGAAAGGCCTTCCATGTTCTTGGATAGGCAAACAATATAGTGAAAATGGCCATACTGCCAAAATTGACATACAAATTCAACACAATTCTTATTAAAACCCCAATGATTTTCATTACTGAAATACAGAAAACAGTCCAAAAATTCATATGGAACAACAAAAGACCTAGAATAGCCAAAACAATTCTAGGTAAAAAAGACAACACAGGAGGGATCTTGATGCTGGACTTCAAACTCTACTACAGAGCCATAATAACAAAGACAGCTTGGTACTGGCACAAAAACAGACCCGAAAACCAATGGAATAGAAGATCCAGAAATAAAACCACATGCCTACAGTCAGCTATATTTGACAAAGGAGCCAAAGACAAACAGTGGAAGAAGCACAGCCTCTTCAACTACTGGTGCTGGAAAAACTGGGCGGCCACATGCAGAAAACTAAAAATGGACCCCAGCCTATCACCATGCACCAACATCAACTCAAAATGGATTAAAGACCTTAACATCAAACCTGAAACTCTGAAACTATTGCAGGACAGAGTAGAAGAGACACTTGACCTTATTATAGGCAGGGCAAGAACTTCCTGAACAGAGTTCCAAGGTCACAACAATTTGGAGAGAGACTCAACAAATGGGACTACCTTAAAATACAAAGCTTCTACATAGCTAAAGACATAGCAAGCAAGCTAGAAAGACAACCAACTAATTTGGAAAAATATTTACCAGCAATATATCAGACAAGGGGCTAATATACAGTATATACAGGGAACTCAAAAAACTAATCCCTCCCAAACTTAACAAACCAATTACTAAATGGGCAAGGGAACTAAAGAGAGACTTCTCAGAAGAAGAGATAAAAATTGCAAAGAAACACATGAGGAAATGTTCACCATCCCTGGTGATAAAGGAAATGCAAATAAAGACAACCCTGAGATACCACCTTACCCCAGTCAGAATGGCCCACATCCTAAAGTCAGCCAACGACAAATGCTGGAAGGGATGCGGAGAAAGGGGAACCCTATTGCACTCCTGGTAGGAATGTACATTAATACAACCACTTTGGAAAGCAGACCTGGGGGTCCTCAGAAAGCTAAATATTGACCTCCCCTATGACCCAGTCATACCACTTCTAGGCATCTATCCTGAACAACAGGAACCAATATACAAGGACACATGCACCTCCATGTTTATTGCAGCACTGTTCACAATAGCCAGGATATGGAAACAATCCAGATATCCCACCACAGATGAATGGATCAAAAAATTGTGGTATCTATACACAATGGAATATTATGCAGCCATTAGAAACGATACAATAATGGCATTTGCAGGAAAATAGATGGAGCTAGAAGAAATCATGTTGAGTGAGGTAAGCCAAGAGCAAAGAGACAAACGGCATATGGTCTCCCTGATAAATGGGTTAAATCCAAAATGTAAGGTGATACCATAAAGTAAACAAGACTCAAGAAGCAAAGGACCTCCCCCTCATCTAGTCGAATCACTCCTAAATGACCCCATGCTGCGGACTACACATATGGTATATATGTGCACACTGGAGGGAAACTAGGAGGAGGAGGCAGAAACTGAGGGAATCAGGGAAAAACATACAACAGCGGGACCCATCAGCTGCACTGGACATTGACCAAAATGAACTAAGCACCTCAATGGCAAGGATGGGAGGGAAGGAATAAGCGGGAAAAACTGGCACTAAGCAAAAGGAAAGAAATGTACATATCACCCAATGTGTAAGAAATAACTGTATTGTCAAAGCTCATAGAACTCATAAACTTTATCAACCATGATAAATACAATTTGCCCCATAAAAATGTATTCTTTATCCCAATAATTTTATTAGTAACTAAGCAAGTTAATTTTTCTGATTTTTTCTTTGTTGGTCTTCTGGTTTTTGTTTGTTGGTTTATTTGAAGCAGTCTCTCAAACTCACTTTGCAGCCTAGGCTGACTTTGAACACTGAGAAGTAAGTTTTGGAGCCCACAAAGCTAGAACGAGCTCCTGTTACCAGGACCCCCTCAGTTTTCTGTTTCAGGGCTCAGTCTTCCATAATGACCCACAGATCCTCAGTATGATTTCAGCATATTCCTTCCTATGACCCACAGATCCTCAGTACGATTTCAGCATATTCCTTCCAATTGCACAATTAATTGCAATAAGAAATGTGTAGTGAAAAACCTATACATTTCACTACATAGAAGAAGCAAATCTAATTACTAAGATACTTGTCATAATTTTATTGACTCTGAAAAGCTTATTTTATAGACTATACGCTATGACAGCTGTGTTTTGTAGTAACCTAGACCCATAACTAATCTATGCCACTTCTTAGAAGGCACTCTGCAAGTAGTATGAGCTCAGCATTTTAGGATGTCGAAAAATCACCAACAACTTGGTTCATATAATGCTCACAGTATGCCAACCAATGCTGTCTGTTCTGACCCTTTCAAATATTGCTTATTCTATTCTTCATAGCTACTCTGTGAGGCGGGCATATTGCTATTTTCCAGGGGAGGGGGGGGAGAACTGAGGCATGGAGGTAGAATAACTGGTTAAGGGGCTGTAGCTAGTAAAATAGCAGGGCATAAATGAAACTCCCAATACAGACTCTGGACTCTAAGCAGTTTACAAACTCTGAGATGATTAGCTTTTGTTTGAAAGATTACTCAGAAAATAGTAATTAGCTAAATATTTTTGGCTTCCTTGGAAGATGGGTTAAAAACAGCATCGTGGCTTCTTCCTAACATCCCTTAATAAATACCTCATATTTATCCTTCAACTTATTCAACTCTCTCCTACCCCCTTGCCCTTTGCACCCCCGAGTATTGGCACATCATTCATTCCTCCCAATCTTTCATGCTTACCTACTTGCATTCGTTTTCCCAGACACCGGCGATATCCAACAGAATTACGGGCTTCACAGGAATATTCTCCACTATCCAGTTTAGAAACAGTATTAAATTGCTATTGAGGGAAAGAAAAATAAACCGCAAAACCATAAGTAGCCTCTTCAAACAACCCTTGAATTTTACTATTCAATTCGTCTTCTTTTCTTAATGACTCAGGATGTTACATCTTTATTATAAATTCAAAATATAGGTGCTGGGAAGGTGGCTCAGTGGTAGAGCGCTTGCCTTCCATGCATGAGGCCCTGGGTTTGATTCCTCAGCACCACATAAGCAGAAAAAGACGGAAGTGGTGCTGTGGCTCAAGTGGTAGCACTAGCCTTGAGCTGAAGAGCTGTGGGACAGGACCCAGGATCAAGAGTTCAAGCCTCACAACCAACAAAAAACAAAACAAAAACAAAACAAAAAAATATATACTTGGAATTCAAGGAGTAAATACCAAGGCCTCTTGTTTTCATTTGGCAGCAAAGATTTCCATGTTTTGCTCTGTTTTAATTTGTTTTATTTTTATTTTTGTTTATATTGGACTTTGCACTAGGAATTCCATCCTCCTACTCCACACCTCCCATATAGCTGGGGGTGATAGTCATGACCGACCATGGCTGGCCAGAGAGACTTCTTTTCTGTCTTTTCTGTTTCTTGTTTGTTTGTTTGTTTGGGTGGCATTTTGAGACAAGGTCTTATTATGTAGCCTAGTCTGGTTTCAAGCTTGCAATCTTACTTCCGCAGTCTCTTGAGTACTGAGATTACAAGCCTATACTGCCACCACACCACCTTTTTATTTCTTTCTACCTTTATTTCCTTCTGATTGTTCTCCTCTCTCTCTCTCTCTTTCTCTCTCTCTCTCTCTGTGTCTCTCTCTTCAAGAAAACTAGTATAGTAGGAAGACGTTAGGCATTAAAAATGTTTAGCACCTGGCAGTATTAAAATACCATAGATACTTTTAATTCCTAGGACAAACACATATACCTTTGCAAAAGGGTTAATGTACTTTTAGGTTTTAAAAAAAATACTAGCATAAATTAATCACACTAAGAAGTTTTGTTGTGACACTTATATACATGCATATTATGTACTTTGATCATTCACCCCTCTATAAAACTCTTCTGTAACCCTTTTCTCTCCTCCCCCTTCTTTTAAAATAATTTTTAGTGGGTTTCATCATGTTGTTTTCATGTATATGGGTAATGTACTTCTTTCACATTTATCCCCATCATACTCTCCTGTCCCCTCCTCCACCCACTAGTTCTATTCCCGAGTCTGCCTTTCATAAACATGTCGTTGTTTCCCCTTACTTCTAGGGTCTGCATATGAGCAATATCATTGCAACATTTGTGTTTCTTGGCTTGGCTCATCTCACTTTACATGATGATTCCCAGTTCCATCCATTTTCCTAGAAATGGTTGATGCACTCTGTAAGCCACAGCAAGTTCACTGTAGCAGTGACTAATGAATACCTTTTCTACAGAGCGAGAGTTAACCACGAAGAAGTAGGCTAGGGCCTAAGAAACCTTAATTGGTGGTGTTTATAGGATTGCAACCTCTATCACTTCCAGAATGTTAATAAAAGGCTGAGCCCTTGCTCATTCTACTCCCTGACAAGCAATCGAAAAGAGATATTGTTATTAAAAGAACTAATTTACACCAGTGGTTTTAGACCCTTGGAGAATTTCTGTAAAGAATGAAGACCGAAGGTAAGGAAACAAGAGGAAACAAGAACAAGAGAGAGATAGAAAGAAAGGGGGAGATGGGGGGAGGGAGATGGGGAAGAGGAGGGATAAAGGGTTCTAGAGAAAGGGAAGGAGGCGAGATGCAATCTCTGGCACCTTGAAGGATCCTGCAGGGCCAGCAGAGAGAGGGCTGCTGAGAACCACGCCTTCTGTAGCTCCCATTCAGTCTCCAGTACTTGAGTGAGGAGTCAGCTTTGGTGCGACTAGGCACTTCTCTCTTGCACTATATGTTGTTCCCCCAGTAGCCAGGACTTAGAACTTTGCTCCTTTCTATCTTTCACTTTTCTTCCTCTAATTTCCCACAGCCCCCTCTTTCTATAGACTTCACTAGGTCTATAGACTTCACATGCTTTCCCTGGCTTGTTTTGACTCTAGGGAATCATTTTCACCTACCCTGAAAGCCAGAATACTTTCAGATTACTCACCATAAACTCCAGGCCAAGGTTATATATAAATAATAAGGTAGAGTAAAACCCCAAATGGTCTTCCAAGTGCACTATGACTGGTAATTAAAAGAATGTCCCTGGCATCCATACACTGGAGTCTTTGTTCACATCCTAGAACCCACCCTAGTTCAAGCTAGCGTGATGCATTCATATGGCCTCACCAGAAACTTCAAGGGCCGAGGCTCTCTGAGGAAAGTAGATCTCGATTATTTTTTTTCAGACTTGCCTTGGGGCTTTTTATCACCACTTGGAGAAAAAATAAATTTGACAAACAAACATAGCAGAGGGTGGTGGCAGGTTTTCTGCCCAATTTCTCAGTGTAAAATCACTAGGACCTGCTGACTTCTCCTCTGACAGCCAAAAGGCCAGAGCGTGCCTTATTCAAAGGACATTCTCCTCCGCTGCTCTTCTGTATTACTGAAGGAAGCAATGTGCTTTGCTGTATGTCAGACCTAGTTTGGAGGCCAGGCATGGTGGTCGTACCTCTAGTCCCTCGTATATCAGGAGTCATGGATAAGAAGAGGATCACCTTCTGGGGCATGGGCAAAAATAAGAGTTTTTCTAAAATAAAAAAAAAATAACTAAAGCAAAACAAGACCATGGGTATGGCTCAAGTGCTTACCTAGCAAGCATCAGTGCCTTAAGTTCAAGTGTCAGTGCTGGCCCCCTCAAAAATCTAGTTTTCAAATGTTAATGATAGAAGAAATGAAAAGACACAAGATTACTCTCAACATTCATAAAAACTGTTATTATTACTACCTCTCTTTTAAGATGTTTTTTAGTTAATGATTATGATAGTGATCTGTATTGCTAGAAATTAGACATTTAAAAACTGACCTGTAATATTATTTTCATTGGAAAATATTCTCATGTCAAGTAACCTTTTAAAAATTAGTCCTTCTAAACAATGGAGGGGCTAACAATGTTCAAGAGGAAGTGTACTCATTACCTCACTCATGTAACTGTAACCCTCTGTATAGTATCTTTACAATAAAAAATTAAAAAAAAATTAGTCCTTCTAACTTAAAAAGTCCCAGATGAAAACTTAAAAAATAAATACCTTTTACTTTCAAATGTCATTAACTGTAAAGAGATTGTTTATTGGTTCGTGGAGGAAACAGTCAGAGAGACTAGACCGAGTTTAAACTTACGTCACCGAGACACTTGATGATCTAGAGTCATGGAAACAATGACACAGGTACCCTGCCATGCCTTTACTATGGTCACTATTTTCTTGTGGTAAAACACTGGAATCAGGGAATCTCCAAGTGAGCTGTTACGCATTTACGTAATGTTAGAAACTGAGATAGTACTTAGTAGTTTTCTAGATCAGTACGGTAGCTGTAGAGAACTGCCATTACTCTGGACGGTGAGCAGTCAGCAGCACGCAGACCCTTGTGCTCTGTGCTGTCTTGATCCTTCCCATGTCTTCTCAATGCAGGTACCATCATCTTCCTGCTCCCCTCTCTTCACTTAACAAGCAATGACAGACAGTATGTCTTTTCCTCTCCACTATTATTATTATTATTACTATTATTTTACTAATTCTGGGGATGAACTCAAGACCTGGGGACTCTCCCTGAACATCCATCTATCTATTTATTTATTTATTTTTGCTCAAGGCTAGTGCTCTACCATTTGAGCCATAGCTCCACTATATATTTTTTTAATCTTTTGGTAGCTTATTGGAAAACAGAGTCTCAAGGACTTTCCTGCCTTGGCTGGCTTTGAACCACAATCTTCAGATCTCAGACTCCTGAATAGCTAGGATTACAGGCATGAGCCACCACAGGCACCCAGCTCAAATTATCCACATGCCATAGTTATTAGGCCAATACTTGAAATGATCTCACCAGAGTTCCAGATTTTATATTCATTGTGTAGGAGCTGTTGGATCTTTGGGAGCCAAGTTTTGGATTCCCCAGCAAACGGATGCCATCCTTAAACCATGTATATTCAGGAGCTGGATTGCCTTCTTTGTCTTGACATCGTAGCTCTACCACAGTCCCACTCAAAGCAGAAGTGGGCACTTCACATGATGGCACTGCTGGAGCCACTGAACAACAGAAGACAAATGTCTCTGGTTACTCACAAGCTAAATATGGGTAAATAAAAGTAATAGGCAATAAAGATGGGTGACTGCTGCTGAGACTGGCTACTTCTTCAATGGGCCCATTTCCTTTCTTCTTAGGAACACAGGAGTCTGCATTTGCCAGTGCTTTTCTGCTAAGAGGTCAGATGCATGGAATGTGAGATAGAGTGGTATAGCCATTTCTAGGCCTGACCTATAATAGTTTCCTGCATGATTTTCAAGCATTCACTCCCCTTATCTTCTCCCACTCATGAGGACCTTATAGAGCATATATCAGACCTGTTTTAGGCTGTGCCTCTATTTTATGATGTAGAATGATATGTTCAGCCCCCCTACACACACATATGGTAGCTAACTGTCTATGCTTTACTTACGTGAGAAAGAAACTACTGATGGTGCAAGATTTACTCATAGTAGCCAGCATTTCCTTAGCTAATAAAACAGCCATTATTTTTTTAGATACTTTCTACTGTTTTCTTTTCCAGTGGTTCTAATGTTTATTTCCAACACTATTAAAAGAAAATAAATCTGAGGATACTTTTCAGGCCTGGTAATTAATTTTAAAAATCTTATATAGTTATAACTGGGCAAGTTAGCAACTAAGAATAACCTTTAAGAAACAGGACTATTCTCGTCTCAGAGATTTAGAATGTAAAGCAGATTGTAATAGGTGATTGAATATACAGAAGACAGAAATACCTATTGTTAGCAGAATTTTAAGGTGTCTCTCTAAAAACCTCCATTTTTGTATTGATACACATTCTCTCAGTTACTTAGACTCTAATCTATATATTACCATGAAAGAATTTTGTAGATACAATGAAGAGCCTGTAGTTGTACTGAAGATGAAAAGGGCCAAATGATAATTGTGGGTGATCTTTTAAGAATTCAGTGTGATCCCTGCTAGCAGCAAGTAGAAAATGAAATCTTTCAGTCCTGCCAATCACAAAGAAAATCTAACAACACCAAGAATGAACTTGGAAATGGATTTTTTCCCCCAGAATCTTGAGACAAGAATTCAAATCAAGGCAGACCCCAGTGGCTCACACCTGTAATGCCAGTGGCTCATGCCTGTAATCCTAGCTACTCAGGAGGCTGAGATCTGAGAATCATGGTTCAAAGCCAGCTCAGACAGGAAAGTCCATGAGACTCTTAGCTCCAATAAACCACCAGAGGACCAATAGTGGCACTGTGGCTCAAGTGGTAGAGTACTAGCCTTAAGCTGAATTGCTGAGGAACAGCACCCAAGCCTATAGTTGAAGTCCCATGACAAACAAACAAACAAACAAAAAAAGAAAAGAATTCAGTCCATCCAACATCTTGATTTTAGTTTTGTTATTGATAGGATCAAACAGGACCAAATTTTGTTGTTGGACTTATGATCTATAGAATGATGAGCTGATAAATGGTGTCCTTTAAAACTGCTGAGTTGGTGATAGAATCTGACTGAATCTACGGAAGAGTTTCCTGATTTAAATGTTTGCACATTCAGAGTGCTATCACATCCCGGATGATATACTAAAAAGAAAAAGTTGCCATCATGTTCATATTGATACCTTATACTTACACCAATAAGGAGAAGCTACCATCTGCCATTATGAGTTGTTGTTTTTTTCAAGTCAGGGTATGCTTTGATATGTCAGAATATATGTAGCCTCAAACAACATCCTCCTGCCTCAACTGACATGACAGAAGCATTTCACCATGCCCAACTGTGGTTCGTATGCTAACTTAGTATATAAGCTTTGCGTTTAACCCTATCTAGATTCAAATACTGATGCAGACATTTTTTAATTGTGTGGTCCTGAGGAAATAATTGAACTTCAACTTCTTCACCTATAAGACTCAGATTATCAGTAAAGATGAAGTAAAATCACATATCTGAAAGGCCCTTGGACATATTTGCTGCAAAATAGATGCTAATTTTTCTATACTAAACAATTTCTAATCCTTCCATTGGCTTATATATGTGGTTTTTTGGGGGTGGGGAGGTATATTTATTTTTTGCTTTTCCATCAATTCATGTGATACCATTCTAGATGAGAGGAAGAAAAAATAAAGGCTATGCTGAAAGTTATTGATAAATAAAATCTTGAGAAATTTACTCATGGACAGAGTAAAGACTACGTCAGTCTTAAATAAGAGAGTTTGGGGATAATGAGTTTGTAATAGTGAAATTTCAGCAGCCAATGAGATGATGGCAAGAAATAAGATCCTGCTGGGGAAGCTGTACTTGTGGTTCCTACAATATTAGTGGTTGTGGCCCAATGTTAGTGTTCTGTCCGGTGCCTCTTTGCATAGGCCTGTGAGGAGGAGAAAGGCGATGAGTGACACTAGTTATACTCATACATACACATTACCTAATACTTCTAGAGTGACCGTATCCTCTTCCAGGTTTTGGCCTTGCTCTGATGGGGCACTAACTTCACAACGGTATTTCCCAGCATCCTTTCTTGTAACATTTTTGATCCGTATACTGAAATCTATCATTTCAGCTCGATCTTTAAAATCACCTTCAGAAAAAAAGAAGACAATAATGCTAGGAATAATGCTCTATGCCAGCACTATTCTATAGAGTATCTTTCTCAAATCACTTCATTCAATAACCAAAGCATTCATTTTCCATCACTCAATTTTAAACTTAAAAATAGTATGGCCATATGATTGTATAAAATGGTTTTTTAAGACAGATGTATTTTAGACTCCAAAAAAGAATAGTTTCACATTCCTATAATTTATTTCAGAGAACTCAACCCAAATGTCTGCCTTATTCCTTTTATAGTACCCTTATAAAGATATCCCCCTTTAAAGAAACTACACCACTGGAGATGCTAGTTTAATTGGTCAGAACATTAACTTTATGTGTGGTGGCCCAAATAATTATACCACAAAAGAAAAGGTGGTAAGCCAGAGGCATGTCTGAAGTCATTTTGTAGGTTAGTTTTTCACAGAAATATGTATGAAATTAAAACATGGTTTTATGTAATATGCAGGTGTCAACCCTGGCAACTACAGAAAATTCAAATGAAGTCAGTACTTTGTAGCCAACAGTCTTGACAGATAAGAATCAGAGGGCATACTTTGTGTTCTATGAACTCCAAGCATTTTCCTATTTGAATCCATAACCTTAAAGGACAGCCCAGAAAGAAATGTATAATAAATAAAAAGTACGGCCAGTATAATTGACTGTAAATCCTAACTCCCTGGAGGGAGATGAAGAAATAGGTGAAGGCATTTAGTACTGAGCGATGACCCTGCACACCAAACCCACATCATTACATGTTTACCTTCTCACAAAAGTTTAATCTGCTGAGCCAGAAAGACCAAATTTTGTATCCTCTGAAACTAAGCTTAGAAATCAAGGTCCAGGGATTGAAAAGAATTTTCCTATAGCTTCTGTGTTTTAGGTCTAGCACTGTAGGCTTCATCTCACACTTAGAAAAACACATTTTCAGTAATCTGGCATGTCCTGTTTTCATTTGTAAATCAAAGGAATCTGGTTGTACTTTGTTTTCTCTTGCTCTGGGCTCATCAAGCCTACAGCTTTTTCTTACCTTGGAAAGTCTGCTGGTAGTAGACAAAGGAGACACTCCGCCCCAGTTTCTTCCACTCTAATCTCGATGACATGGTCTTCTTTGGGCTTTTACAGGCTAAAATAACCTCTAGGAATAAAAAAAAAAAAACTAACTTCTGGTTGTCACTGTGAATTTATATTTTACTGAGTTGTTTGTATACTTTCTTACTCTTTTACATTTCCATCCATCCACCCATCCATCCATCCATCCATCCATTCATAAAGTACATAATCAAGTATCATGCTATCTTTGCCCAAAGGTAAAATTAGAAGCATTATATCTCATTCATATAATAATTATGTAGGTAAGCCATGGTGGGTCACACATGTAGTCCTAGCTACTTAGGAAGCTAAGAGGAAGAGGCCTGAGGTTAGAGTATAGCTATTGAGCCTGAGTTCCCCTCTCTGCAGTAAAATGGGATCATGACTTACGGAGTTGTTGTAAGTTTTCAAATGCAATAATATATGCAAGCACACAAGCTTACATATAATTAAATCCCTACCAACAGCATCTATGATTAGCTATCTTATTATTCCCTGTTTCTGTGTTCACGAAGTCTACAGCTTAGTAGAAGAGGCAAGTAAGATAATGTCATTTGAGTCCAACATTGATAAGTGTCAGGATGGAGGTATGAAGAGGATGCTTCAGACCTCCTGCCTTGGAAAGGCATTTAGTTCAGACCTGGAAATGCTGGGGAACCCCAACCCTCCTCCAACTGGCTACATTCTCATTGAGATCCTTTATTAATGGACTCTACAAATACTTTAATATAAGCCTCAAGTTGTCCTTTAATGAGTTGATTCTTTACTGCAAAATGCCTCAATCAAGATCAACTATGAGCCGGGCGCCTGCTGAGATCTGAGGGTCACAGTTCAAAGCCAGCTCAGGCAGGAAGGTCAGTGAGGCTAGCGACAATAAACCACCAGAGGACGGGAAGTAGCACTGTGGCTCAAGTGGTAGAGCTCTAGCCTTCAGCTGAAGAACTGAGGGACACCACCCAGGCCCAGAGTTCAAGCCCCACAACCACCACCAACAACAACAAAAGGATCAACTATGAGAAGATTTATCTTGGCATGAACTTTATCACAGTGTTGTTAAGTTCACTTTAAGGCAGCCAACTTACTGCAGCTGCAACATTAAAGAATTCCAGGAACCTCCAAGTAGCCACTTCTTTTGGCTGTCCAAGCAAGATGATTGAAGAGAGGGAAACCAGTTGTAGTTTGCACACTGTTTTATGTTACCAAATAGAGCCCTCCAATTGTAAACAGACTTGAAGTATGTTTCAAACAGGCATCTAGAATGTCAATGTCATTTTTCTAAGATGTGATTTCACAAGGATAGTGGTTTGACCTACAAAAGCACAGTATCCCTAATCAGAACACAAATTAAAGTTCTTTCCATACCTAAGATTTTGAGGCTAAGCAAATTCACTACATTTAAAAATATTTCCCATTTTATTGAAAAAATACACACATGGATGCAAGCAGAAAGTCTATAACCAATGTATAAATATTATAATCTAGCATGTGATTATTTCTGTGTGTGATCCTTGTGTTACAGTCATGTTATTAGAAATAGAGAAATAGAATAAAAGGTAAAGGAAAACATAGCAGAGCAAAGAGAAGTTAGGGAAAAAATTGCTTTCAAGAGGCTTAAAGATTTTCAAGCAAGTTTTACACCCCAGAGAGATAGAGTTTCACAGAGATGTTTAAAACAAAATACAAGGACAAATGTGTGCTAAGGGACCTGTCTGAGGAAACAGCACTGTTCTGTTGATTAAGGAGAATGGGTGGTGATCTTCCGGAGTCTTGAGTTTTAGATAGGTTTCCTTCCCGTATTTTGTTGAGTTTTCCAACAATTAAGTACACACCCACACTCATTACTCATCTACTTTCCATGTCTTACTCCCACATCTTAGAAACTATTTTATATTCCATCACATTGTTTTGTATATTTAACTACACACACACACACACACACACACACACACATGTGTTAGTGAATTCTTCCTGATTTCTGTCTTCACTGCCCTGTGGAAAAATCTGTATGGAAATTATAGCTTAGAGGGTGGCGCAGGCATGGAGGGAGGAAGGGTGAACAAATGTAATCATTATAGTCAATGTACATTATGTAAAAAAATGAACTACCTAACTTGAAGGAAGGGATGGTAGGGAGGAAAAGAGGGGAATAGACTAGAATGAAGGAAGGGGTGACATTAACCAAGAAGCATTGTCCTCCTAACCTGATTTATGGAATTGTATCCCCTTTGTACCAATATTTAATAACAATAAAAGAAAGAAATTATAGTTTTAAAATGTGACCAGTGGTTTTCTTAATTCACTCCAGCCTCTCTCACTGACTGTGCAATATGGAGAGAAGTAGTTTATCCAGTTTGTCCAAAGTCTAGTGAGCATACTGTGTGTGTCCAGCATTGTTCCTAAGCTGCATCAGTGAACAGAACAAGGTCAGACACCCTGCTCTGTAGGAAGTAGGCAAACAAGCAACATCAAAGTCCAACTTATAATGTGAATTCTGTGATACATCAGAAGGTGATGAATGCTATGGAGATCTAGGAGAGGACAGTGCAGGAGGTTTGGGAGGTCTGATAGTACTGGATATGTCGATATCATCAGATGTCATTTTTATAAACAAGGTGGTCCAAGTTCACTTTAGAAGGTGGCATTTGATCACAGATTTAGAATACAGATAGGCTTTGTCATGAGCAAGAGACAGTCACTGTCTAGCTCCTAGGGTGCCAACAGTTTGATCTTGAATGACCAGACTACACAACTGTGAAAGACTCTGAAAAACTGCTATTTTAAGCCACATGTTTCACGGGATATTGTGGCAATCCTAGGAAACAAGTAGACAGTAAAAAGAATAGAATCATGAGGTCAACATCTGAGGGAAACTTTCTCTCTATGGTCAAAATCAAAACTTATGGCCAGCATAATTTTTTGTATCTAGCTTCAGGGCTACTGAAATATAATATAGTAATTCATAGACTTTTGAGTAATAGCTCTACCACAGACAAGGTATGTGATATGAGAAAATTACTTAAGTTTTTTCAGAACTTTACATCTACATCAATAAAATGATAAAAGATGAGATAATGGTTTATGTAGCTGGTGGGTGTTGTACCTTGCACATAGTATGTGCTCCGGATTGGTAATTATTATTTGAATCCATGAGAACTAACTTTCCTTTAGTTGCAGTCTCAAACTTCTTTGCATCTATATGTTTTAAGCCCATACTTTATCCAATGACAAATTCACTTTTTTTGGTGATGGGGTCAAGTGACAACATTGAATTCAGGTATGGGGTTTGAATTGGCAGACACTATGTTACTTGAGTCACACCCTCATTCCTTTTCACTTCAGTTATTATTATTTTCTTGCATAAACTCAAATCCTGGGCACTGTCCTTTAGCTCCATTTGCTTATGTCTAGTGCTTTACCACTTGAGCCACAGCTTCACTTCTAGTTTTTTTGGTAGTTAATTGGGAGATAAGAGACGCATGGCCTTTCCTGCTTGGGGCTGGCTTTAAACCTCCATCATCAAATCTCAGCCTCTCAAGTAGCTATGATTGCAGGTATGAGCCACCAGTTTGCTTTAGTTATTTTTTTAGAAAGCTGCTTGTGTTTCTGCCTAGGATGACCTGAACAGTGATCCTCCTATATTTGCTTCTTCTGTGAGTGGGATCACAGGCATGCAACAGAATCTTACTATATTTTTGCTTAGTCCCTTCTGGAATCACAAATCTCTAGTCAGTGCCTTACAAGGAGCTAGGATTACAAGCATAAACCACCATATTTTGCCTACAAATTTCCCTTTAAATTACTCAAACCAGAACTAAAAATGTTACCTCTGTTTCAGAAAGCAAAAAAACAGCATCAACATAAATCTTATTTTGCTCAACACAAAGATATGAAAAAAGAAATATGTGACAAGGTTTTCTATTAAAGTGATCATTTTATTGCCAAACATCTGTTTCATTTAGATCAAGAGAAGATAATCATTTAAGAAAATGCTTGCTACTAAACTGATTAACAGCTTTCAGAGCTGGACACTGCAAGAGGCTAGTCCTATAATTTATGTTCCTGGGAAAGCTGCCCTGATTTCTGTCTCATTCAGCTTCTGGCACCTCCATGGGAAATGATACAGAACAGAATCCCTGCAAAGCAGGAATTCAATTACATCAGAGAAAGAAGAGAAAAAAAAATAATGAGCTGGAATGCACACACAGGTATATGTAAATCACAAATTATTATAGACTTAAGTTGCTGTATAAAATAGACCAAAACTAAATATAGGAGTCTTAAGATAGAAATCTAGTTTCATGGAGAGTTGCATTGGCATAACTGAGTGCATATAAAATAGAATTATGATATTATTAATTTAATAGAGCAGAGGTAAAGTAAGAAAAAAAATTAAAAGTAATTATTCCAGAGTAAGAGTGAGTTTTTGGGGGGAGGGAGGTAATAGGTATTAAACTAAGAATGTCAGACATGCTTAGCATGGTCTGTACTACTGAACTACAGTGACCTGCACAGCCATTCCTGAGACTAACATTTAATAAATCATGGAAGGATTTTCTATGTTAAAAATAAAACATGCATTAAAAAGTAATATAAATGGGCACTGGGTTTCATTTTGGAGTGATGGAATATTCTGGAACCAGAGGTGGCACATGCACCAAAAGTTGTTGAGTTGACTGTTTATTTTATTATTAATTAATTTTTAGAATAACTTTATATATTTATTGTCACTACTGGGGTTTGAGCTCAGAGTCTCATGCTTGCCAGGCTGCTACCCTATCACTTGAGCCACACCTGTAGATGGATTTGTCCTTTATAAAGGATGGATTTTACAGTTATATACATTTTGCTTCAGTGATTTTCTTAAAACAGTAAATGATTAGAGAAAATAATTGTTATGTACTAATTCAGATATCATGGCAATTAGGGTAGAGATGTATGTTTACCACAGTCAGGTGAACCCAGACACAGGAACCTGGAGGTAAGTAAGTGATTAGGAAGCGGAGGAGGAAGGGGCAGGGGAGAGGATGGTGAGGAAGAGTGAACTTCAGTTCGTGTGTCCCTGAGGGACATCTTACACCACGTTTTCTTTCCCCTGTGATCATTCTTTGGGCTTTTCAGTTCACCCTCTTGGTTTCTTATCTCATTCATAGGTTCTCCATGGTCCAAATTATTCCCAATCATTCACTTCCTCTTCCCCTCATTTGAAACTAGCCCACAAGAAAAGGTGTCTTATTAGTTTGTGTAATGTGTTAGCCCTTAAAAAGATCCAATTAACCTAAGAAATTGTCTGTGACATTCTTACCTTTCCCTAATCTTGTCATAATCTGGGTGTCCTACCTGAATTTCTGCCCCACTTTAATCTTGGTTATCTTTAAAAGTCGGATATGTGTAGACCCAAAAGTTCCTCTCCATGTGGGGTTGTGGAAAAGCTAGTTGGATCTAAGATGGCTGCCAGAATGATCACCATACAACCCCTAAATCTTTATTCTTCCTTATGCAGAAAGTCTGCCTTACTCCTGGATTTGTTATGCAGTTTTGACCACGAAAGTCAAAATGAACCTATAGATAATAAGAAATGAATTGCATCTCTAAATAAAGAAAATGCAAATTAAAACAACATGGAGAGCTGGTGGCACACGCCTGTAATTCTAGCTTATTTAGGAGGCTGAGATCTGAGGGTCACCATTCCAAGCCAGGCCAGGCAGGAAAATCTGTGAGACTCTCGTCCCCACTAAACTACTATACCAAATAAAAACAAAAACATGCTCCAGTGGTAGAGTACATTTCAGGGAAATGTATGAACCTAAAAAAATTAAACCATATCAAGCAATATAAACTAGGTTTAGGTCACACCTTCTCTCTTGTATGTGGAAGCTGCAAATATATGTGTCATCATATCCATGTATGATCAATCTATCTAAAACATGGTATTTGCAGGTATGAGGTAGCATAGTAAAATCACTTTGAACAATTAACAGGTGGTGTAACAAAAAGCAATCAGAAAGTTGAGCCAGGTCTAGACTGGGATGTGGGTAGTAGTGGGAGGGAGTGGGTAAATGCAGAGGCCCAAAAAGAGATTTGAAGGGGTAACAAACCAAGATGCATTATATCCATAAATAGACATGTCAAAAATGAATCCCCACTTTTACAACTAGTCAATGCTACAGCCGGGCGCTGGTGGCTCATGCTTGTAATGCTAGCTACTCAGGAGGCTGAGATCTGAGGATTAAGGATCAAAGCTAGTCTGGGCAGGAAAGTCTATAAGACTCTTATCTCCAATAAACCACTCAGAAAACCGGAAGAGCTGAGGGACAGCGGTCAGGCCGAGAGTTCAAGGCCCATGACCAAAAAAAAAAAAAAATCACTGCAGGAGAAAAAACCTGGAAGACAGTGAGGGAAGGGATGACATTGTACAAAATGAAATTTACTCTTTACCTGATGTATGTAACAGTAACCCCCCTGTACATTACCTTTATAAAAACAATATTTTTTAAAGATCACTTCCAAAATCCCCGAACCAAGAAAGAAAAAGAAAAAAAGTAAGAAAGAAGCTGACGTGTGTCTGAGCGGCAGAGTACCTGTTTAGCAAGGTAGAGGCCCTGAGTTCAAATCTCAGTATCGCAAAAAAAATAATGTTGCAATAATTAAGAACAAGCTAACTTAAAAGAGTCTATATTAATACTATCTTAAAATTTATAGGGTAGGTTTTAAGGTACTGATTTCCACTGGCTACCTCTAACTGGGTAGAAACTCTAAAAGATCTATGTTTCTTTTTCAAAAATTTGATTGTCCTTCTTGCTGGTAATTTATGTAATAGGAAACCTATGTCCATTCTTTTTTCATTAATTGTCCAAAATCTCCACTGAGGAGGTTTCCCTTTGAAGGTAAGAACACTATGAAGCATTTCTGGCAAGAGAACTCATGTGGGGTAGGGCAGAGGTCCTAACCAATAGAAAAACAATATCAGATGCATTATCCTTGTGAGGTATGTAAACAACACAGCTCATAAAAATCTGAAAGATACTATACCTTGGTACTCTATTGCTGTGACTACTTGATTGTCTTTGGGGGCAGATAATCCATATGCCTTATGATCTGAAACATTAAAAGAGACAGATAATTCAAATGGTACATTTTCAAATGCTTGAATAGAATGCAATAGCTAAAAAAATTGGTATACATTTGATTATAATCTCACATAATTTTACACATTAATTTTAAGGCATCAAATTAAAAAAAAACCAAATAACCCTATACATGTCACTTTTATTTTCTGTATAATAATTTTGGCCTCTATACTTTCCCCAAACTAGAAGTCCTGGATGTCAAACTTCATGTCCTAAATTCTAATCTCTCTTCTGAAGTCAAAGTTGTAAGTCTCCCTTTCTCCTGGGTATCTCTTTCTCCTTTTCCTACACGCACTGCAAGTTCATGGATAGGGATGAACTCCATAGCTTGCTTCCAAATTTTGTCACATTTCTATAAATCACATCACAGGGAAAGGCATCACAAACTGCATGGTCACTTGTGCCAAAATCCTAGTTACTGCCATGATACATCCCCTCTCATCCACAGACTGAAAGCTAGATTTTTGCCTGGTACCACGTCTTCAAATATTTATCCTCTATCTCTTTTCCTCTTCTAATCTGATGAGTGCTTTTAGCTTCAAGGAGAAGATGCAGATACTGAAAACCAGACATTAGAAAAATAAAAAAATTAAAACTGTGATAGCTTGGGCAAATATTTAAGAAAACAAATAATGACCAAAATATATGTGCTGCCAGAGAGAGAAAATCAATTTCAAAATAATCTTAGCAGGCTATTGAAAAAAGGATGAACAATGAGAACTAACATTTATTAAGCAAGTAGGTGTTGTGGTATCCCTAAACCTTTGTAAATCTTAACTCATTAGTTGGCCTAAGGATTATGTAAAATAGGTCATTGTGTGTGTGTGTGTGTGTGTGTGTGTGTGTGTGCGCGCGTGCGTGCACATGCGCACGTGTTGTTAGACTGTGGCTTGCACTCAGGGCTTTGAGCTCTTACACAGCTTTCTTGCTTTAGGCTAGCACTCTATCACTTGAACCACATCTCAATTTCTGGCCTTTTGCTGTTTATTTATAGATATGAATCTTTTGGATTTGCTGCCAAGGCTGGGATTTGAACCATGATTTTCAGATCTGTCTCCTAAGTAGCTAGGATTATTGCCATGAACTACCAACATCCAACTTGGGATACCATTTTATTTGTGCCGCAGGTCCTCAGCACTGTCCCTGAGCTTTCATATTCAAGGCTAGCACTCTACCACTTGAGCCACAGCTCTCCTTCCAGCTTTTTGATGTTTAATTAGAGATAACAGTCTCACAGACTTTCCTGCCCAGGCTGGAATTAAACCACAATCCTCAGATCTTAGCCTCCTGAGTAGCTAGGATAACAGGCATAAGCCACTGGTGCCTGGCATATGGTACCATTTTTATCCACCTTTTTTTTTCTCCAAGCTGGACTTTGTCAAGGAATGCATGTTGATTCATGAAGATGCTAAGTAGACATTTCCTTTGATCTCTGAAAGATAGCATAATCTGGGAGATTGGTTACAATAAAAGCAAAGCACTGACTATGACAAGGCTGTGATTAGGGATCAGTATGGAGATCACAGAGGGGGAAGCCCCAGACCACCACAGGCTTGGGTCATTCTTTTTTTTTGGGTCCGGTCATGGGGCCTGAACTCCGGGCCTGGGCTCTGTCCCTCAGCTCTTCAGCTCAAGGCTAGCGCTCTACCACTTGAGCCACAGCGCCACTTCCCGCTTTTTTCTTTTTGCTTATGTGGTGCTGAGGAATCGAATCCAGGGCCTCTGGCTTGCAAGGCAAGCGCTCTACCACTGAGCCACCTTCCCAGCCCCGGCTTGGGTCATTCTTGTAGGAAGCTGTTCCCTGCTTCATCCTTGGTTCTTACCCACCACATGATGTGGCACTACCTAGCCCCAAGTCCTAACAACTGAAATGCTCTTCAGACATTCCAAACAGATGTGCCTTAAGGGTGGAGAACAGACACCAATGCTGCTTGAGAACCACTACTCCAGACTTAAAATTAGATTTGCTTGAAGTAGCAAGTCCAGAAACAAATCAACAGCTCTTTAGAAAAGAACCATAAATTTAAATTTTTCGTAACTATAAAAGGTAGCTGTTATACTTCTGGGAATGGGTGAACTCTTTCATGTGAGGTGGCATCTTTTCTTTGACCTATTCTTTTATAGGGCACCAGTACATAAATTAGACTTCCTAAGGAACCTGTCAGACTCCAGAAAAATGTTCTCTTTTTCTTTCTGTCTCCTTTAGAAGCCTGGATAGCAAATCTAGCTGTGAGAGAAAAACTCTGAAAATTCTACAGGACTCATAGGTCTAGCTCCGCTGGCTAACAATTCACGTTCTGTATCTTTAAACTGCAGATGTCTTCAGAGGGAAGTGGGTAACTCTGGTGCCATGCTCTTTGTGATTGAGAGCTGCAAATGATTGACAGCTGCAAATCCATCTGTGTAAGGCAGTGGTCCCCTGGGGCTCAGTCTTAAGAGATGAGTCAGGGCTATCAAACTGTAATTTCAAAGTAACTCATTTGCTACTACATTTCAAGGACCATGAAGGCGTCAAGTCTTCTTTACAATACCCTTTTCCTCCTTTTCCATACATTGTGTGGTCTACCACTTGAGGCCATGCCTCCGCTCTGGCACTTTGCTAGTTAATTAGAGATGGAGTCTTGTGGATTTTTCTGTTTTGAACTTCAACTCTCCAAATCTCAGCCTTAAGAGTAAGATAACAGACTTGAGCCACCATCACCCAGCTCCCTTTTCTATAGATCTTTTCAAATGTCAATTCTTTATCTTTTTCTTCCCAGCTTGCTTTGAAACTCCCATCCCTACTGCCTGTGTGCCAGTCTTTCCCATTTCTTTCCTCCTCTAGTTATATTTTCTAGCATTCAAAGGCAGAGTCTGGATCTTTAGAGAGAAGAAGAAGAGTAAAAAGTAAGGCAACCAAGTCAGAATCCTAAAAAAAATGTGCTGAGGGAAAGATAGGACCATGTATATTCTTCTTGTGTTATTCTCTGTTTAATGACAAAAATCTCTGGAAATTTGTCAATGGTTATCCTTCTGAGCTATTATTTTGTAAAATTTTCTAAGGATACTTTTGGGGGTGGGAATGTCTCACCTTTTGACAATGTATAAACTAGTTCCCCCTTACAGAAGCTCTAATTATGACTGACAATTCTTATGATTGTTTTTAAGTATTTTAACACACTTAACTAGACAAAACATTAAAGACTTGTGCCCCCTGGAAATGAATAGAGGGGAATCTGGAGAGAATAAGAAGATGTAATCTTTGTCCCCTCCATCTTTGAACTTTTCAAATACTGAATTGCCTGCTGACAATGTTTATTTTCTTCAGAGGTTCTGGCTGCTCTCATTTGAGGAACACTTCAATATAATCTGAAGTTGAGAAAATGTCTCAAAAGTCTGGGAAAGTATACTTTTTCCTCAAATATAGTTGTCTTCTTTATAAACTTACTTTGTGCAAATATCTTACTAAAAAAAAAACTACCTTGCTAAAACAACTTTGTAGAAATATCTGTACATTTTTCCTGTTTGGGGGGAGGGGAGGGCGGGCACCAATCCTGGGTCTTGAATTTAGGGAACGAGTGCTGTCCCTAGTTCTTAAATTTTTTCTCAATATCAGTGCTCTACCACTTGCACTACAGCTCCACTTCTGATGTTTTGGAAATTCATGAGCGATAAGAGTCTTAAGGACTGTCTGCCCTGGCTGCATTCAAGCCATCATCCCCAGATCTCAGCCTCCTGAGTAGCTTGGATGACAGGTATGAGCCAGCAATGTCTGGCATGAAATATCTGTACATTTTTCAAAAACTACTAAAAGTTCTGTGGAAAATAACACAGAACTTTACTTTGGGAATTTTATTTATTCCCTTGTAAATTTCATATACATTTTATTTGATGAGTTTTTACTACATATATATAATTTATATAGGTATTAGCTATATAAAATATACCTTTTATATTGTAATTGCATATTTTATATAAATAATTGAATAACTATTTAAAATGATCATATATACATATATGTGCATATATAGAAATGCATATTATCTTCATTTTTTTGCCATAGAATCTCACTATGTTTCTAGGCTGGTCTCAACTCCTTGGCTCAAGTGAACCTACTACATGTGTATCTTTGAACAGAAAGAATAGTGTTCTAGATACTAAATATTATGGCATAGTGATGAAGGTGAACAATAATAATAGGAATCATAATGGAAGTTAGCCTTTTTTACTTGCATCTTTTAAATAACTCATAAAATCATAACAGTTGGGGTTGGGAAGGTGGCTCAGTGGTAGAGTGCTTGCCTTGCATGCATGAAGCCCTGGGTTCAATTCCTCAGCACCATATAAGCAGAAAAGACTGGAAATGGCGCTGTGGCTCAAGTGGTAGAGCACTAGCCTTGAGCTGAAGAGCTGAGGGACAGGGCCCCATGACCAACCAAAACCAAAACACCTTAACAATTGTACATGTTAATGTGATACGATACAATGTTTTAATACATGTATAATATTATATAATATCTATATCAGAGCAAACATACCACTTCTTTTCAATCTCCTCTCTCTTTCTTCTGTCTTTTCTTTTGTTGGCAGTATTGGCATATAAACTCAGGTTTTATGTTTGCTAGGCTGGCACTCTACTGCTTGAACCATACCCCTCAATCCTTCTTGTTTTGTAATGGAGTTTCATATTCATGCCCATGACCTGGATCACAAGCACCCTATTTATCTTCCCCACATAGATGAGAAATGTGTCCTACCATGGCCAACTTTACTGGTTGATTCTGCAAAATTGGAGACTGGACCTACAGCCTTGTTTATGCTCTACCAGCAAGCTACAGCCTCTGCCTCTGCCCAGTTTTATTGGTTGAGATGTAGTATTACAATTTTTTTCCCCAAGCTGGCCTTACGCCGCATAAAAAGGTGCGTGTGGTATATTATTACATATAGTCATTCTGCTATGCAATAGAACACTACATGTTCTTGTTCCTA